GGAAGAGCCAACTGGGCGTTAACTGTGTGCACTCTGGGAGGTCTGAGGGGAAAAGGAGCTGCGGTGTTGCTGAAAGGTTGGGGGCTGCCTCCTTTCTGATGTGCTCTCCTTGCAGCAGAAAGAAGTGTGCAAAATGAGTTGGTCAGTCTCCCCTAACTCACCAGACACCCCCGTGGGCACAAGCGGATGACCTGGAACAGCTGCAATACCCCCATCCTTGGCAAAAGCGGCTGTAGCTGTTTGGAACAAAGTCAGTGAGCGGCTGGCATTTCTGCACAGACAGCCTCCCAGCCTCTCCCCTGTAGCTCATGATGAACGGTAGCAATCTGGATATGCTCGTAAGTTAATTAATTGACCAATCCAGATGAGAAAAGTGAGGTGGAATTATTTATTACATATTAATGCTGTCGGCATATACAGGAAATGCTAACAAACTGCAACAGGCAAAATGTTAACATGACTGAGAGCTTACTGAAGAATGGAAGCAAGGGATCTGTTTTCAATAATCTGAGCGATATCCCAGGGCATAGCGAAAGACTTTTTTTTTGTTTCCGCATTTATAACATTCATTTTTCAAGTCGTGCTTCATTTGTAAAGAAAGCACAGCTGCTCTGGGGCATTAGGAACCTTCACGCCAGCATACTGTTAACACAGGTTTCTGGTCCAGTTTGTAAGTTTTAAGCTTTCCTGGCCTGCAGCTTTAGAATTGAATTTGGCAGCCAAGCTCTTTTCTTTCTCGTGTGCTGCTCCTCCGCAGCGACGTCGGTTCAGCGGGCTGAGTCCTCCTGCTGGGACCCTGAGGCCGTCTATCAGGGGCCATCGGTAGCGGTGAGGGACTGAGGTGGACCTGGCGAGACAAACGCCGTCAACGGTGTGCTGCTAAACATACCTGTTTACCCAGCCACGTCTGACTTGGCCAGGCAATGAAAAAAGGCTTGAAAAGTAGTAAAAATGCATGCTGTCTCTCGAGTAAAGAGGTAGGGCTCTGATAACAGTCAAGAGGAGGACCCAGTGAAGAAGAGCAGGACATCTTAATGCTATTGTTCTGATTAGAGCTGTCTTTAAATTAGGGCATAAATTCTGTTGTGCATTGTAACTCCAGAACGTGAAACCTTGGCTTACCATGGCCTCTCCTCGCAAATCTACTTTGTGTTCTTTTAACTTAACTTCTTTTTTTTTAATTCTATTTTTGTCTGCAATAGTTGATTGGAATGCTGCTGGCATGCTGTCTGTCCCGGTTTATTACTGCTAATCAGTATGAGATGGTGTAACAAGGTGAGTTTCTACTACTTTCTGCATGGTATGCCGTCTGTGGTGCATTACAGTAGTTGTGTTCTCCCAGTGAAGATAGCTGGCAAGTTTTAGGTGCTCAGTTTGTTCATCAAAAATTACATCTTCCTGCATGATCTTTGGTTTGGATTTTGTGTTCCAATATTGTCTGGTGAAAAAAGGGGGGAACACACTATTCAGTGTTACTTCAGAATTTTTATTAAAAAGAGAGAGGAAAACATCTCTTGTGTGAACACCGTTAGCAACTAAAACGGTTCACCTCTTTTCTCTCTCTCCTCTCTCTCTCTCTCTCTCTCTCTCTCTCTCTCTCTCTCTCTCTCTCTCTCCAGTCTTTCAGAAGTGAGAAATCCAGAGCCTGTCTCAAGATCGGGAGCTGCAGAATTCGAGAAAGACTGAAAAGAATGTTATAGCACACACTGTCTCTCGCCCGCCCGCACACCCACACACACGCAAGCACGTGCGCGCGCACACTCACACCCCGTCTCCTGAAGTCTGTCCCATGCGTAGTGTACCATCCTGTGAAGTACCGCAGTGCCGCAGAGAGTAGCCTCAACTGTTCAGCATCTAGACCCGACCTCCATCCTCAAGGCTCTGCGTATGATGGCACTGTACGTATGTTCTTGGTCATACAGTAGTTGCATTGTAAGTTAACAAAGGTAATTCATTAACAACAGCATTGATCAGGCTGTGCATGTAGTGACTGGAGGGCATAATTAGCCTTTCACCATGGTTAATAAGTGTTGCACACATTCATATAAACCGGTATAGGAAGTATATATTCTTTTGGGTTCCTCTTAATTTCTTTCGTTTATTGCTTTACTAAGGTTTTCATCCTTTCCCCCTTCCCTGCACCTGTCGCCCTACCCCAAAACCCAAGAAACCAGTAACAAAACATAAAGATACTTGAAAATGATGTTAAAATGTTGTGCTTGAAGGGAACCATTATTCCTGATGTTCTTCTACATCTCTGATTCTTACTCAGTGTTGTATGCCTAGTGCGTATCCCAGTAGGCTTTGTCTAGTGCATTTTGCCTCTGAACCTGTGTAATACTGTTATTAAGCTGTGTTGTTGCTTACTGTGAAGGCAGTAATTTTGCTTCCTTTATTTTTATTAGATAGTTATGAACTAATTGAACTGTGCTGTACTGCGGCCTTCATACTTTTTCCTGTTCTTTCTTTTTCTTTCTTTTTGCATTGAAGTTGCAGCCACCAAATACATTGCTGAATCAAATCAAAATAAAAACAATAAAAAACCACACACAGAAAGCCAGGCATATGGAATATTTTTGGGGGAAAGCAAAAATTTAAAACCTTTTTAAAAAAAAATAGGACTTTTTTAATAACGCCTCTGTCTAGCATGCCAACGAGAATGCGTTGATATTGTGAGTATTTGTGATATACATATTAATAAATGGAACCATTACAGATTTCTAGCTGCCTCCTTTTTGTTCTTTAGTCTTAACAAAATGCTTCTCTGGGGGAAGAAGTGAAAATGAAACGCAAGTGCACAGCTTGGAGTGACACATTTCTGTATGCGTGTTTTAATTTGCAACTTGCTTGTGAGGGGAAAAACGTTATTGCCCAGGAAAAAAGAGAAAGAGCTGGAATTGTTTCAAAACTCCAAGAAAAACCTTCCGCAGCTGGTTTTGCCATGTGACAAATACATACCCTCTGCTTTGCAATTTTTCTTCTTGTGACTGATGAAATCCGTAGTATTTAATTATTCTGTCCTTAGTGCTGTGCACGATTTTGGTTTTAGGCATTTCTCTCTGTTTGGTTTTGGTGAGTGTGTGGCTGGGGAGACGAGGGATGGAGGGGTTAATAGCTGTCTTTGCTGTCTGCATGGGAAGGCAGACGTTAGATAATCTATCTCTTTCGCTTTTGAATATGTCAGGAGTTGAAGGTCTGATCAAAAGCCCCTCTGGAAGTTTTGGACCAAGCCCTTAAATTGGCAGCTTGGGCAGAAAAGAGGAATTGAGGGAGACTGTAGCTTTCTCGGAGGTAAACTTTCAAGCCTTTCTAAATGCAGTCAGGCAAACGCAGGCCCTTGTTGGGATGAGCAGCAGTCTCTCAACCTCTCAGTCCTCTGCAGCTTCTCAGCTGCGGAGGGGCTCTGTCATGTAGGTGTCCACACAGGCCCCGGAGCTGCAGGAGTGCCTGCATGTCGGCCGGCGCCGCCCTGCCTCAGCGCCTGGCTATTGCAACCCTTCCTCCGTCTGCTCCCCTGGAAAGCAGCCTGACGGTAGCGCACCGAAATACCCGGGGCTAGTGTGAAAGTTGTTGTGCTGAGGTCTAAGAGCTGATTTTGAAGTGAGATAGCACATTGACCGTCATTAACGTGGGCTGCAAAACGATACAAACTGTAGTCACGGCCCAGGCCTTTATTTTGGGTTCCAGCCGACCTGAAAGGACAGAGGAACATCTGGACATGTCTTGGATTAAATAGATGTCAGCGCAAAAGCTGCACTGCTGACTGCACTTTCACAAAAGCCCAGGCGCTGCTCCAAACGCTGTCCCCAGGAACTCTCTGCCAAACACAGATCCTCCATCTGCCATCTCCTTGTGTGGGGTTTTCTCTTGTCCATCCCATCCCGCCCCCCCACCCTTTCCCACCCCATAGCAGCAACGACCTTTGGTTCCCTAATTAGCGCTGGGTAAACAGCTTGGATCAGGTCTTACGTGAGGTCTTTGGAGGAGACCGTAAGTCATTTTGCCAGCTAGCGGGATGCCTGTGGTGGGGAGCCTGCTGCAGGGCTGGGATCTGAGTGCGCGGAAGGACCTGGAGCCTGAGGAGGGCTGCCCTGGGTGCCAACACGCATGGCTTCCCCCCTCAGCTGCCCATAAACATTTCTGAGTAGTATTGGTGCTCTCTTCGGTGGCATCTTCAGCTTTATTCGGAGTATTTGCAAAACAGGGAGCTGTGGGACTCTGCTTTGCCAGGGAGGTGGGAAGTCAGTACTCTGTGTTGATCTTGAAATATAAGTAATGTTTTTTTATAGATTCGATCCTCTTCCAAAGGGAAAGCTCTGATTTGCTGCTCAATCTCTGCTTCTGTATTTGATACAGCTCAGAGCTTCGTGTTTGGCTTCTGTCTCAGTCTGCGTTTTTCAGTGAGCTCTACGTTGAGCCCTGCCATGCGTGATCTTCAGAGCAGTTTGAGTTCCTGTGGTGCCCGGGAGCCTAAGTGCTGGCTGTGCTAAGAGCTGTGCATATTGAAACGCATGTCTATAGGCTTGTTTTGTTTCACAGCCCATGAAAAACAAGAGCATTTTGTAGGTTTTTTTTTTAATCATCATTGCTTTCCCTATTATAAGTTGCTGGTAAAGGGGACAAAAAGGCTTAGTGCATGTGTGTGTGAGAAGCATTAAGTTGTGGGGGGTCTGAAGCATATTTTATTACAGGAGTCTGTTCTGGCTGGGGATATCTTAAGGCTTTCAGCTGAAGCCTTTTCCCGCAAGGTCTTCCATATTTGAGATGTTCCCCTACCACTGTAAATGAAAAGCGCATAGAGAATTATGCAGTACTTGTCCTGTGAAAGAATGTGGTTCCCCACCGCACACATGCGCGCACATACATGCACACGTGTCCACACACACACAACACTCTCTCTCTGTGTATGAAATGTAAAGACTCACCCATAGATGAAAAATGGTTGAATTTTTAATTTCTGAACACTTCAGGTTGAGTCAGAAGAGCAGAAAGCTTTTGTTACGTGCAAGGGAAGAGTTCCTTTCCTAAGCATTTGCAGTTATTACATGTGAAAGCGTTACTCATAACTTTTACTAATTTTAGAAGCTACAATGCAAAGCACGGCAGTGCTCAACAAATCCTGCTTATCTCACACAAGTCATTGTACTGATTTTTTTCCTACCAAGTAAATTACGTTACCTCAGAGCAAATAAAGTGCTCACAAAGGCAATTTTTCTGTCACTCTTCTCTTCCCACTTCTTCACTGCCGTAGTCTGTCCCTGAAGTTCAAAACTGTGGTAATTTGAAATAGAGATTCATAAATAAGAGAAGAGGAAGCTCGTTCACAAATTTAAATTTGTCCTGAATGCAGTTGCCTTCTGCTGTTTTGCTGCTCTGTTTTTCTGCAGTCTGTACTGAATCCGGAGCAAGTCTCTGCTAATTGCATTGCAGTTCTCAGAAAGCCACCGTTAGTGGATTCTGCTCTGTGCCACTTAGTCGGGTCTGCCCGTAACCGCCAGAGAGCAAACGCTGCAGATACCAGACAGTTCATCTGTGCCAGCTGAAGGGATCAGTTAAAATCTGGAGGGCTCTTTTAGGTTCTTCTGCATCAGCGCCTTCCTGCACTGCTGCTGTCTGGCTGCCTCGTGTGCTCTGTGCTGCACAGCAGCAGATTGGGGGCATTGCTTTTGTGCAGGACTGATGGCCCGCGTAGGTCACTGCTTGATTTATTCGCCTTGCATACAATTTGTCTCTTACCAATTGTGAGTGCTGTCGATTCAGACTGGTATAACTTATATGGCCTGTGGATTGAAGCTTTGTAGCTTGGTCCCTGGTTTGTGCCTTTGAGTTTTTTTTTTTTTTTAATCTCCATCACCTCTGCAGTTCTGCACTGCTGATTCTCGGCTTAGGAGAGCAAAGAGCCATCTGCCTTGAGGGAGCAGGTCATTTTTTTGGCTCAGCCCGGAGGGAACTGCTTTTCCCTGTGACAATCAGAAGTGCTCATGCATCCCCTCGCTTTTGACAGCTTCGCCTTTGGTGAGCTGGAGTGCTCGGTGTTAGGCCAGCGCAGACCCTGCTTCTGTGCTTGGCTGTGCAGCAGAACACTGTTTGTGCTTAATTAAGTGTGGAGAAGGCCAATAGAGTATCTGCGTAAATGCTTGGCAGTTTGCGTGCAAGTTTTAGAGGCAGTTTAAACGCTCTCACTCATTCTCCCCTTCCTCTTCCTCTCTCCTGTCCATCGCAGAGGATGTTTCCAGGAAACCTGTTTGTCTCCCAGCAGCTTTGCTCTGCACCTGCAGGACAATGTGGGCTCCTGAGCTGCCACCCGAAAGTGGGAGCTTTGAGGACAGTTCCTGTATGCTTTGCCTTTAGAGATCACTTGGATTTCGGGGTACACAGGACCCATTAGGCCCAGTACTGTGGTCTTTTTACTTTTGGAAAAGGCCTAACAAAGCTGAGGGGAAAAGGATTTCTGAGTTGAACTCTGTAGTGGTAGAACCGCAGCTCTCTTTTGTTCAGC